CACACACACACACACACACACACACACACACACACACACACACACACACACACACACACACACACAGACACACATAGATCTAATAAAATGTACATATGTATTATAAAAAACACACTCACACACAATTTTTTTAAACGTATATAATTCATGATATGAATGTGACGGGCTTCATTGTTGCGAAATACCCACAGAGGGAGGGCCACTTGATTTGAACGTTTCGTTTTTCTAACGAGATTTTAGTTTTAGTTTTTGAGCATCAGAGGAAAAAGGTAAGATGTATTTTTATTAATTGATTTGGCGTTTATTTCTGTGGGAAAATATAGATGTAGTATGCAAGTTCATTTAATTTTTAATTGGATTTTTTTTTTGGTCAGTCCACGAGGCGATAGTGTAGAAAAAAGGCAGGGATGTGGTTGGTGGGGGAGGGGGGGGGGGGATTTTTTTCTTTTTTAAATTCATTTCATCAAAAGAGTGGGATTCGTTGTTGCTGATATACCTACAGTCCGTGAACAGCAGGTTGGTGTGAAGGTGTCTTTTTTTTCAATCTGGCAGTATGAGTAATCTAAGAAAAAGGTGAAAACAGGTTAATAAAATAATTATTGGTTTGGGCTTAAGAAAGAGTTTTACGGCATTTGCAACACTATAAGGTCATATAAGTGCCGAGGATTAGAGGTGTTACAAGAGAGTAACAAACACAAAAGAGAAGGAGGAGAGATAAAGATGATATATATTTGATTGGAAAGAGGGAGCAAACCTCAGCAGAGCTCCCGCCAACCACCCACAGGCTTATTGTTGCTGACATACAACGAAAAGCAGGAAAACGGATGAGTTTATTTCTTGTTTGTTTCTTACTTTTTATTTCAAGGGGAGGGGGGTTATTCTCTTTAAATAACCTGTATATTAATATTAGATCAATGGTTTATTGTTGCTGAAAAACACGATAATCGGATATCTAACTTATGTGAATTTCCTTGACGAGGTTTTATTGACAAGAGAAAAATCTCAGGTGAATTTAGTTTTATTTTACATTACCATATTAAAAGGAAAAAAAAGAAGATGTACAACAGTATAAGCTCAGTTGCAGAGGTCCACGTATATCCCCCCCCCCCCCCCCCCATATATAAATAAATGAATAAACATATACTGACCACCCCCTCCCCAATAAATGAATAAATAAATAAATAAATAGAAATAATAGATCTGTCTATCTCAGTTAGCTAGGAGACAGCCACCAAAGATCCACGTTTCCTCGACCTGTCCAGACTACCGCCAGACTGTATATAGTAGTTATCTTATCTACAGCACCTACGTGATGTAGTTGATGTAGGCCTACTGACTACAGACACCAAAGGCTCTTTACTCTTTACTGCTTCTTCAGTATCTAATGATGACAATGATGATAATCAGTGGCGGTTTGTTAACTGGGCTAGACCGGCGGTGCCGCAAAGATAGTACATAACGTAGACTCTTTGGGTGCCGGTCAGATTTTTGTCAGCTGGACTGTTGACTAGAGGTTTATATAGCTGACGATGATTTTCATTCAGTTTTAAGTAAATCCAAACAAACATGTATCAACATTCAAAAATCACCTTGCCGATTTGAAGGCTCTCAAATAGTCAAGTGGGATTCACTGCTGTTTTGTCGAGAAATAGCCTCATTCCTTCACGTTTGTTTATCGCGCAGGCTCGTAACTTTAAATCCCGTCTAACCGTCACGTCGCGGAACTTTGGGCGCTTTTTCGGTAGTTCCCACCCCGCAATTGTTATTCACGGGTTTTGGCCCCAAGAGTAGGGGGGTTTCAAGGGGGCTTGCCCCCCTGACCTAATAAAAATAGGTAGGGGGTTTCAGGGGGGCATTCCCCCCTGAATTTTACCATAATTTAATGTTTTAAGGTTTGATATCTTAGCTCACCGCGAATCAAACGTATAGAACTAGATATCTAGATCTAGATCTAGATGTAGGTCAAATAAGGGGGGTGGGAACTACCGAAAAAGCACCGAACTTTGTACGAGGACAAACCAAACACGCGGGTCCAGCGATTCAGCGATGACGTCAGTCCGCTGGGCAAATCCATCGACTGCCCTCAGAGCGAATAGAGTATCCCTTGATTGCCAAGTTGGCCTCTGTGTTGCTTAAAATAAGAATGAGACTGTTTTGAGCAGCACAGACATATATATTATTTTATCAGCAGTACATGTACATGTATTTATCGTTCAGACTTTTTCTAAATATCATTATTGTCAGCATGGCACTAATCTATTTTCTTTATTGGATTTTTTGCCCCCTATAGTTCCTGTTTGATATTTATTTAGCGCTTTCTCCCCACTAATAACTTACCTGGCCCATATGAGTCTAGCCGGCGAAAAGAGGAATCGTCTAGTGAAGATATATAAGGAGAATTATAACGAGGAGCGATAGGCGCTCGGCTGTCAGAGTCTGGGCCGAAAACAATAGGCCTACCCCCTCCTTTCCCTTCCCTTTTCCACCGTCACCGCAGCTAGACAAGACCAATGATGGACTAGAAACTATACGCTCTTATACTATCCTCT